AGAGCTTGATTAGGGTTACATACAGACCAGCTCCAAGAGAATATTGTAAGCCGAAACCGCATACGGTAGGAGCAACTTACTGCCGACTTGGCACACAATACATGTATATATACTCAACAGTTCATTAGACTTCATGGTCAAGCACAATATGATCACTATCATAATACCGCCCATGGACTACCCAGTCCTCGCCTCATACTGCTTACAAATATCGATCTGCTTCTTGGCTTCCTCGACAAACCACATGTGCGATTAACAGTCTCCAGTGCATCCCATGACATTCATATAGGCAAGGCTACGAAGCCACTTCGCAACATCAACGAAGGATATCCACTCTTTGAGATCCGAGAGAAAGGTGTTCTATCCTCATCTTTGAACACGAGACTACCTTGTGGGTTTATGTCTCCGTATGCTACATCTTGGTTCACAAATTGATTCAACCTAGGTAGATTCGAGCTTCCGCCACGAGAAACTTTCCAGTCCTTGAAAATGGATTCCGCAGAGAAAAAGATGTAGCGCAGCCTCAAGCATGCCATTCCGCCTTGTAATACCGACAAATCTCAGGCCAATTGGACATGATAGGCTTGGTTGGACCACTCGTGACAAAGACTAAAAAACGAAGAGCCGGTCAATGACAACCAATCCAATACCAAGTGATTCGTCATTGTGTAACACTGATATTCGCAGTCAAGATTAGGTAGGGGCAACTACAAAACTTATACCCGCGTTGCCCCTGGCCGGGCTTCGCACTTCTCACTATTTTCCTCTTACCACTATAATTCTTCTGGAGAAGCATTACGTCCAAAGACACGCGTTACTTTAGCTTCTCAATAAATTCATCTTTGAAAATATACAGGGTTAGGATATCTCTTCTCCCATGCTGTTAGGCTAATGGCATGACTGTTGGAGGATGAGGATGATTATTTGGTCATCACTGCTCCGAGACACCTCACCAGTCTGCTTTCCCACTTCAACCATTACTAGGATCCCGAAATGTCTGATGAAAGCTCAGACAGATCGAACGCGAATCTTTAATGCGGATTAGATGGATCTACGAACTCAATGAAAAACATCCCTGAGCCATCACCCAATTCTCAGTCATCGGAATCACACCTAGACCGAACCCACGTGACGTTGGCGCAAGAGGAAAAAACAATATAAGACAGGACTTTTCAAGAAACTCGAATGGGTTATCCGCTATTCTTACTCCAGAAGTAGTACCCAATATCATTGTTGAAGAACACCTGCAGGGCGATGAAATCCACAAAACTGTCACCACTATACGCGAAGAAATACTTCTTATATTCGCAATCTTCATAGACATAAGCAACCCTCATGAAATCCACGCATTCACCGAAGAAGGTATGCTCGAAGCCAAATTAACTTTGGAGCGCACTACGCTCCTTTCGACGACTATTGGCCGAAAGGGCTTCCACGGTGTGCAAAAGGTGTTATTCCATATAGATTGAGGAAAGGTATTCATCGACGTATATGGAGCGAGTATCATGAACGGGAGTTTTCATGTCTCAAAGATGCAACTGAGCCCCAGACCTGGACTAATTATCACCTTCACACAAAAGATGGGCAGGGAAAAAGTAATACTAGTGGATTATTCAGATAATCACTGTGTGGCTGATAGATTAAAACTTCTTAGGTTGAAGGGCTGGGGACACATACTATGTTTTGGCCGTTATACTATACGCAGTAGTGCCTTTGATAATGCTGCGCGCGCTAGATGATATTGAGTATACGATGCAAACAGCTACGCTACCGGTATGGGTCGACACCCAGTTTCCTCTGCTTATAAGAAAGGCACCCTAGCTACCGCCAAAGAGGGCCTAGGCCACACTCTGAACTGAGGGCCGATTTCTGCGAAATGATCCACAAATTGGTGAAATATTCCAAGAAACAGTTAACGCTAGCTTAAATTAATGTGGGAAGGTCATCTGTTTTCTGCAACGAATTTAGAGATCACTTCTCACTACTGCACTGTGTAAGGGAAAACCCCCCTTTACAATCAGAAAGACTCGAAGCACTGGTGAAGATGAAAAGGTTCCAATTGCCCTTTGCCCATCTAACATCACTTGAGCCCGCCTACGAGGATCTTCTTATCCCAGTGCCAACTTGTGAAGAGTATGGAGGAGGATGGCCACATTTTGATCGTTTGATGCTTTCCACTACCAAACACGAAAAAGCCTTGGTAGAGAGGATTGACTTTTAATGCAAGCTGGATGAACCTATCATCCTAAGAGTGGATTATTAAACTTCGATCCCTCGTTCACCTTCTTTCCAAAACGAAGAGACCCTCTAACTTCGGAACTCTCCGCTGTCGAGGCTTCACCAAGTCGGACTCTGAAGCCGCATTTTCAGATTACTTTTCGAACTTCCCGAATCAGATAGCAAGCATCTTATATATCCAAGAGCTTTTTGCATGTACTTCTCAAAATTGGCCAAGCACGATAATACTATTGCTGGTAATCCTCAACCAAGTATCCTCCTTGCCCGAAAACTGGCAAACGCTGTACGCCCTCTGCGCACTGTATCGTAGCTCCACAAGTGTCTCCTCTCGTTCAGCAGCATGGTCTTTCCCGCGGAAAATTTAAATTTTGATGATATTGACCTCCCTACTCTCTACATCATCAACTTCCGCATCAGCTGTTCTGATGGCATCATATAGACAGCCGATGGGCCAGGCCCGGACCACGACTCCCGCCGCCACCATCCTGACTATGTTTCTGACATACGTGGTAGTAGATATCCGCTCCTTGATGTGACACATTTTGCTGACACACTCATAAAAGAGAATCGATGTTGTAAGGCATACAATACGTAGAGCTTGGGTATCATACTTCTGGAAATCACAGCATGGGATCTATTGAACTATCCTACGAGCGCCATCTGACGAATCTTCATATGCCTTCCGCGACATCCTATTGAGTAAATATGTGCCGAAATTGCCCAGGAGCTAGGGCTGAGGTATCAGCAAGTGGTGTAACGATGGTTAAATAACACTTTCCATGGTATACAGACAACAGGGATTTCACGTTCTTCGACATGGACATGTTAGGTCTAATAACGTTATCAGGAATCTTCGTTAACTAATTCAGGAAAGTTTCTAGAGACATACTTCACTCTTGATTAATGCGGCGCTGCTCTTTCGTTTCCATAACTTCGCGGCAAGGAGGCTGATAAGTGTGAGGCTACAAGTTAGCAGTATATAGACGTCTATCAATGTTCTATGTCTTTTCTCATGGCCCTTCTCTTGCGAAATTGGCTGGACAGGCATCGAGCTAAACACCGACTACTGCAATGTAAATTGTGACTTTCTGCATGGGTGAAGAGTACAAAACTATGTCAGAGCGGTTGGGACATATACTAATGCGACCATGCTAATCGTCTTCGCTGGCTTTGAGCCTTGCCGTTTCCGATCCGCAGTAGAGACCAAAAGTATATTTTCACTGAACATTGACCGAGATATGCTCTCTGTCAAACTTTTGAGATTGTATGCTATATGCGTCTGGTGTATTTCGAGAACTTGTGTCGTCTAGTTTGTTTTAGTGGCATAGGAGTTTGGTTGCGGAATGAGCAGGCACTCACAAGAAAATAACTACTTTGGGTTGAAATGGGTGCATGTGGCCGTTCATCTGACACATCATTTCCTCGTTGTGATGGGGCATTGCAACAGATACTCTGTTTTAGGGTCAAGCAAACTAGACTCTCCCCCCTTGTGCATATTGAGAACAGTGGTGCGTTGGGCCAGTTTACTGCTCCTATACTATCGGACTCTTCTCCATCTGTTGGCAGTACACTATTTTGCATGCGCCATCAATGACTCTGGAGTTGAGATAGACGATCCGAGAAGCAAATCAACACGTCTCATCTCATTACGCAAAACCTCAAGGGTTCGATTAGTAAGTGTACCAACAGAAGAGAAACCAAGGAGACGCAAGTCGTCAAGGAGAGAAGGCATCCGATGAGAGCAATATCGTGAGCCAACTATAGCCAATTCCGTTGCTATTCAATGGACTCTTTAAGGAGCTGTTCCGTGGGTTCTCTAACTTTTCGGAGCAATGAGCTATCCGACTAACTATCCCCATAAGTGATCTTTAACGCGTTGTTCGATGAACATGATTCAAGATGAAGGATAAGAACACGTCAGATAAACAATGAGAGTAAGAGAGGCAGCCGAGTAGATGATAACGAGATAGTTGTAGTAGAAGTAGGCAAGGACAGGCGGGCAAGGAGATGTAGAAAGATAGGGATCTGATGCCTGGAAGGCCCGTTTGGATCACAATTTTCCTATGCATCTATCGGTATCCTGCAATAGCAACCTTTCTTCGTTGATATATATATATATATAGTAAGCCTGAAGTGAGAGAGAGGTGATATAAATCAGAAGTGTATGTATTGTGTGTATGATTGTGTATCATGTTGTAGTCTTGTCTTGTCGACTACAAAGGATATTATATACACGAACAGGGAGCCAAGACTCATATGACCTTCCGGTCCAACATATATATATAATATATATATGTGTGTGTGTGTGTGTGTGTGTATAAGGCAGCTGAGTTTCTTCGATACCGTATTCATCACTAAAGCGACCGTCAGGTCACTGGAGAGTCCTATGGTGAGTAGTATGCGTCTTTAATACTATTCGTGAATGAGTCAGGCACTCACATCCGGATTCAAAAATGTTGGGAATCCTATCTTATCGACTATTTTTGAAAATCGCGCATAGAAGCCCGTCTTTGCACATCTCAATACAGAGTATGAATGACCGTGCCGCGTAATCTGGCGTGAACGTATCACTTCCCCACCGCACAAAGCCCGACAGCCTGACGATAACGTTCAACCCACCACTTTCTGTATAATCTGATTGGTCTCATTCCAATTAAGCCGCTCATCATTCCCTGCCATCCATTCGGAGTTAAAAATTTTCATTATAGAATTAAAAATTTAAAATGCTTCTATCAAATAGTTCTTTCGAGCTTCCAAAATCTGGTCTTGTGGTCTAGTGGTATGATTCTCGCTTAGGGAGTACCCTGAGTCTAACTTGCGAGAGGCCCCGCGTTCGAGTCGCGGCAAGACCCTTTTTTTGGCTGTTCTCGAACATGAAATAACCTAATGTTGAGAGCGCCTATCATGATCTGATATGCGTGTGTTTCTTAGGCACCTTTTTGATATTATTAACTTGTACAGATGGAAGTATATTTTGATATAATCATTTTCCAATATTGAGAGGTTTACACGAAGACGTGACAGTCAGGAATATTGCGAGTTTGGTGTATCTTTTTATTCTTGATGAAAATGTAATTAAACAAGCAAGAAATGAAAAAAAAGAGTAGAGGTGTATAAGGGGCCCAGGGTGGACTTTTTTACATTGGCTGTATACAGATTGTCTTTTATTCTTCCAGGTTTATCTGTTTCGTCAAATTGCCTTGTATTTCTTTTCTACAGTTGAAAGCAAATCTATATGAACAAAATCTTAATTCTCCCTGGCTCTGCCTCAACTCGTCAACAGTTCAACGTTTAACCAAAGTTCTACGTGTCGAAAGCTGAGCATATACTGGCTCTCAAGTAGGGCAATTCATACTAATAGAAGAATAGGCTTTAGCACCTGACGGTTGATATAAAGGAGAAGAGCACGCACCAACCAATCCACCAGCAAGAAACCATATGCCAGCATGGTAGACTAATGAGATCATCGAATTATTATAAACTTATTAGCTGATTCTCGCCATCTCGCTCATGATCCTCCCATGCTCCCCTCCTTCCTCTCCAACAGGGATGCTCTACAATCCCTATCCTTTTCACCCCTTTCCCCCTTCCATAGCGTATTACAAAGTTACTATACAAACAACATCCTCTACCCCAACACTCACCCGCCCCCCTCCTTACATCCAGATGCGGAACAGGGACCAGAGGTAAACCAAGAACAGGATATTTGTGTAAAAGAGAAATTTCATAAATCATTCAATCATCGTAAAAGGGGAAGAAGCGCTATAAGAACCGGCTGTGCTGTGGAGTAGAATGTAGTTATCCAGACTTAGGATACGAATAGGTGTATATGTGAAGGTGCCGTTTGGTGTAAACGCAAGACAAAAAAAAGGGATCTTGTACAGTCGGGAAATGTGGGCAGCGAATTGAAATGTGTGGACTAGGCTCCACGGACGGAGCTTATGTGGTTACTTAGGAACTGAGGACTGGAGAGTTGGAAAGGGATTCGATGGAACGGTGGCTGTTGGAACAGGACTTGGTGAAATTGTGTTTATCGCGATGGCTGAACCCCGCTGAAGTTCGGCTTCCTTTCTCTTCGCAAGCAAACTTTTAAACGCGCCCAGCCATTTCGCCAGCGAATCTTCGTCTGGGGCGCAGAAGCGATAATTCCGTTCTTCGGAAATAATCTGCATACAATGTTTCTTGCTCTTTGAAACAGGGTCGATATCCACAGCATTAATAATGTTGGCGAACGGGATGACAAGGTTTGCTGAGTACTCTTCTTCATTCTTGTATAGGCCGAGAGTTTTGGGACGGAGGACAATCCAGAGTTTCTTCCATTGCCGTACGCCACGTTTTGATTTCAGTACGTATAGCCAGCCGTGGTATACCACTCGCTCGTCATCTGGTGTAGTGCCGATATTACTGGCTTGGCTGGCGTTTGGTTGTTGATTGCCTCGCGGAAGCGACAAGGACGATCCTTGAAAGGCAGGATGACCACCGGTATCAGAAAAATCAGAGAAGGAACCGCTGTATTCGTTACCAGACCAGTTCAACGCTTGCGAAGGTCGTCGCGCACTGTGCATGTGCTCAGGGGACACGGAAATAGACAGGCGGGGTTCTGCCTCGGAAGAACTTGATCCTAAATTTTCGCGCTTTGCGATCGCGTCCAAGCCTGCGAAAGGGGTAGTTTTCTGAGCTACTGGGCTCATAAGTATCATATCCTCCTCTTCCTTATCGATTCGAGCTTCCGTGCGTATTAATGAGACCCATTCTTGGGCGTCTTTTTCGGTCGGTGCTGCGAGATGATAGTTTCGCGAAGGAGAGAAAAGACCAAAAACATGGTCCATTTTACGCTTGGGGTCTTTTTGGCGGGCAACGGCGGTAACTTCGGAGAGGTTGATCTGGTGCCGGAGTTTTGTTTCCTCCTTGTCTTTGTAAATGGAGAGGAGATTGGGACGTAAAACAAGGTAGATAGGCTTCCATGCCTGTTCCGACGTTAGAGATGCTTTGAAGAGGTGTTGTTGTGGATACCTTTGTCTTCCGTGTCCTTTTCAACGCCGTGCCGGACTTTATCACGCGATCAAATTCGAAGCTCCCGTTCTGATTTACAGGCGACAGAACAGCAAGACTGCCTTGATCAGTCTTGATGGCCTCCACTCGAGGCTGTTGTCGGGGGGTGTTGAGCGCTGTGTTTAAAGGAGCAGGCGCCCGGATGGGAATGGGTTTGGAGGGAGTTTGCGGGAAATTTTCCGTCATGGTAGCCATGTGAACGAAGCACAGCTCATGCAAGAAGTGACTATGGTGCTTTAAATCGCGAGTATTGTAGTATGTAGGGCGACTGGTGGCGGTTGCTGGTCCTACGGGGGTGCTATATGAGGGTGTGTTATGGGTGAAGCGAGGACAGGGACAGTTTGGAATGCATGAGCAGGGGCAGTGCGGAAGAGGAACGACGACAATTGAAGAGCTGCAGAGGCGGAGAATAGAAGAGAATTAGATTGAGTAGCGAAAAGCCGTGAAGTATTGGTGACAAAGGAGAGGGGGGTACAGGAGGTGGTGTTAATGAAGTGACGATAAAATAAGGGTCCAAACAGGAGAGGATAAAGTCTAGCTGGCCGTAAGTGGCTTGAAACTCACGGGAACTGACGTGTGCCGCCGGCTCAAGCCACAAACGCCGGCATGTTGCGTCTTTGGCGGGGTTTCGCCTGCGCTTCTGATTTTTGAAACTTCATCCGCAACCAACCATTCCGACTTTTTTACCCTTCGACTGGATATTGATATCCCTTCATTTTCTATTTATAAGGATACAGACTCGGGGATAGGTTTCAGATACCAGAACGTTTCCCCAGGTCTTCTTTGACCATTCTACACGCCCATCCGAACGCAGTGCCCCTCGCTTCAGAAATATCAACACTTCCAACCGCCTCTTTCATACGGCTGTCACCTTTACAAAATGCCTGTGGTGGCCCCAGAGAAGCTGGTCTCTCTGCAGCAGGCGGCTGAAGGCGTCAGAAACGTAACTCATACTCTACCATATCTTCCACTTGGCGCTGTTTGACTGACAAATGAACCAGATCTGCATCCTTGCACACGTCGTATGCACTTGAGCCCTAGACACGCTTGATATCATTCCTAAATTGTTTGCAGGATCATGGCAAGACCTCGCTCACCGACGCCCTCATCGCTACGAACGGCATCATATCCCCGAAACTGGCGGGCAAAATTCGATACCTAGACTCGAGGCCCGACGAACAACTTCGCGGAATCACAATGGAATCTTCAGCAATATCCCTATACTTTTCTCTACTACGGCGATCTGCTCCAGATGCGCAGCCGGAACAGAAAGAGTTCTTGATAAATCTAATAGACTCTCCCGGCCACATCGACTTCAGTAGCGAAGTATCGACAGCATCACGGCTATGTGACGGCGCGCTCGTACTCGTAGATGCTGTCGAAGGCGTGTGTAGCCAGACCGTTACGGTACTGCGGCAAACGTGGATCGAGAAGCTGAAACCGTTGCTCGTCATCAACAAAATGGACAGGCTGATCACTGAACTCAAAATGAGCCCAGGAGAAGCGTATACACATTTAAGCAAACTCATTGAGCAGGTCAACGCTGTCATGGGCAGCTTCTTCCAAGGCGAGCGCATGGAAGAAGATCTCAGGTGGCGAGAGAAAATGGAAGAGAGACTAAATGCCGCCGCGGCTTCCAAGGCAAATGATTCCACTTCGGCGGTCGTGGAGAATGGCGACAGTATTGATACAACGAATACTCCAGCCGAGTACGAAGAAAAGGACGACGAGGACATATACTTTTCTCCTGAAAACAATAACGTAATCTTTAGCAGCGCCATCGATGGGTGGGCGTTCACAGTCAGACAATTTGCCAGCTTGTACGAGAGAAAACTTGGTATCAAACGCTCTGTCCTCGAAAAGGTTTTATGGGGCGACTTTTACCTAGACCCCAAAACCAAGAGAGTCCTTGGATCCAAACATCTTAAAGGGCGAAACCTGAAGCCCATGTTCGTTCAATTAGTCCTCGAGACGGTGTGGGCCGTCTATGAGGCGACTACAGGTGGTAACACTGGGAAGGGGTGCGTGGATCTCCTTCGTTTCCTTCCTTTCAACCTTGTAGATAATATACTTATATATGTCAATGAACAGAGATCCCGCGATGCTCGAAAAGATCACCAGGTCTCTCAACATAAAGCTTCCACCCCACATCCTCCGCTCCCGAGATCCTCGCACGCTCCTAACCACACTCTTTGCAGCATGGTTACCACTGTCGACCGCCATGCTCGTATCTGTTACCGAGTACCTACCCTCTCCTCCGAAAGCGCAAGCCGCGAGGATGACCGAGCTCATCGACCACTCCCCAGGTTCCGATTATGTCGCACCTGAGATCCGTGATGCTATGACGAATTTCAGCACATCCAAAGACGGCCCTGTTGTCGCTTACGTCAGCAAGATGGTCGCCATTCCGGAAAGCGAGCTACCAGAGAATAGACGGCGAGCCGGTGCGCTTAGTGCTGAGGAAGCAAGAGAACTGGGACGCAGGAAACGGGCAGAAATTGCTCGACAGCAGGCGCTTGCGAATGAAAATGCCGGCGTCGATAGCCTTACCGATTCATTCAATGCTGCTGCTATTGGAGAAGAAGCTGACATGGCTGCCGACGAAAAGAAAGAAGATCCTGAACATTTGATCGGATTTGCTCGTCTGTATTCTGGTACCTTGAGTGTGGGCGATGAAGTGTACGTGTTGGGTCCGAAGTTTACCCCTGGGAAACCACGCGCTGCTCCAGAGCCGCGAAAGGTCACCGTCACTGCCCTTTACCTGCTCATGGGAAGAGGGTTGGAGCCTCTAAAGTCCGTA